TGGTGCTCTCCTAAGCAAGCCAGACAGTCTAAATGAAACTACTCCTAGAGGTCACAAATATATTCTCAAGGAAGGCAGTCGCCTTTCTTTATCTAACTGGAAGGGTTTATGAGAGGGTTCCAAAGAGGTTTGTATTCTGTATCATACCATTCAGCATTTTCACTGATGACTTGATGAAGGAATAATGATTATTACATTTTCAGCTGGCACAGTGCTACGAGAGGCAGCACTTTCAGGCATAGCATTAGAACTTAACATAATCTCGAAAATTTCAGCAATGCTTGAAACAAATAAGTTGTGCGTTGATATGGGTAACTAGAGAGAATTACACAAGCAAAAATAAGGAAATGCAGAATCGGAAAAGTCTGGCTTACAGGAGTTGCGCAAGGAAATGATCAAAGGATGAAACTAAATATGAGACAACAATGCCAGATCCTTGGAAAAAAACATCACGCTATCTACAAACGTGTTATAGATAAGACAGGGAGAGCTTATTCTATGCAGCCCCAGGTTAGACGCCAGCTGGGATACTGCATTCAGCACTGGGCATTGAACTCCAGAAGGAACCAAGAGAGTCTAGGATCTCGGAGTTCAGAAAACATGACCAGGAACAAAAGACTTGAAAACCTTCTGATTTGCTAAGTTTAGCATTAAAAAAAAAAAAAAAAAGACGACGACGACGACTGAAGATAAAATAATGATCTCCCAATGTAATCTATTGTTTGCAAGAAGGAAAGTGATAAACCATCTTCTGGGTCCACTGGTAATGCGATAAGATGTTATTGGCTTAGCCTTCAGCAAGGAAGTCTTAGGCTGGACTTCAGGAGAACCTTCTAAATATAAGGACAGTGAAGCACCAGCCTGCTTTGCTGAAAAAAACAGTGAGATCTCTACCACACTGGAGGTTTTTGGTGACAAGTTAGGAAAACATTTGTTGGGAATTATTTTCATATAGTCAGTTCTGCTATGGAGGGAAATGAATTTTCAAAGTCCTTTCTAGAGTTCTTTTATTTCTATGTTTGGCCAGTCTTTAGAAAAATATATTTAGTCTTAGCATGAGAATTCAATGAGAAATCTTTATATGTATGCTTTGTGCAAAAGTTAGGGTTTACTAACAATCTAATACAAATGCACTTTGGTTTGCTTTCCCCCCTCCAAACCAAGTAGCTTTAAGTCTAAATTGGAAAAATACTAACACAAGTACTATTTGAGCAAGATAAAGGTTACATATTAGTCTTTGATTACGGCTCAGGAATAGAAAAGACAACCCCCCCAAAAAAAAAAAAGAAAAGGCTGCTGCAACTCTTAAGTCTGTGTGGAACAGACTTATTCAAGCATTGCAAGAAAAGTGTTAGTTGCCCTTTAGTATGAAATATGCATTCCCAGGTGAATTCAAGCTGCTTGTCGCAAAGCCTTTCCTGACTTCTGATCGCTCATTTCATTCTGATCAATGAAGGCAGTGACACGATTAATACCGATATGCTAGCGGTGCTCCTTGTACAACTCACAATTCAGCAATAAAACTGAATGCCCTTCGAAGTACTTCAGAAGAAAAAAAAAAAACCTACTTGCCTTATAAAACCTAATGGATTGAAGAGCAACAAGAAGGAATTCCCATCTAAATGCAAATCAAGGCAAACCCATTTTGTATGCAAGAATAAAATACAAATGGTAATTTTCCCACCATTTGGTAGTGCTACTTACTACAATTACAGTTTTACACAACTCAAGTAGTTAACAGCTCTTTTCCTGATGAGCTGTCAATGAACATTTTAGAATTTTTCCAAATTTATGTCAGATATACCTACTCTGCAGCAGTCTCTTTGCACAAAATTAATTAAAAAATATTCCTTATTTTTGGTTTAATTTAATCTGGTTTATGAAGCGGAAAAAAAAAAAAGACAAAAGTTATCAGAAAAAAATGAGGTTTCATCTGCTGGTTAAACTGTAAATTAAACTCCTACTTGTTTTCTGCGAGAGCGTGATAACGGATATCGGTGGCTTACAACAGCTCAGAACGCCGGAATCAGTGATGCTGAGATTAGGATCCCATCTTGGATCCCTTCTGTATTTAAAAATGCTACGTGCTTGATGAACAGGAGTGACTGTAAGGTGACACTTTGTGAGCCTGCTGTGTGGTCAGAGAATACAGTTGGTCCCAGTGTGGAGCTCCGGGCCTGGTTTGGACACAGAGTCCTCCTTCCCTCCAAGACCTCGGCGTAAACAGAAAAGCTGTGCAATGAGTGTGGAGTTTCTGCCGTTTACTCTAACGAATCTCTGTTTACCATTAACTCTAAGGAATCTCACCAAACAAACTAGTAAGGAACAGGATGTCTCATGCGAAATACTGGATTTGAGCTTTTTCTTCCTGTACCGGGAAGGAATGCAATCAAATTTGTTTCTAGTCTTAAAAAGCTTTTGGAATATTAGATGCTATAATCATTTCTGTGTGTAGCATGTATAAATGAAGCTGGTGACAACTCTGCAATTCCAGTTTGTTTAGAAGGCAGCAACCTGATCCTGTAACAGAGCCCGGTGTCGAAAACCCGCTCTGCATGAGCACCACGAGTTCCCCGCTGGATCATTACTGGGGTCAGTTCAGCGCTCTGTTCCTAATCTGCCAGGCCCTCAAAATATTAGAGACACTGCTGTTTTTACATCTTATAACTAGTAACTAGCCTCCCACTACAGGTGTCCTCAGATGTAACAGCAGCCATAATATTAATTACTTGATGCAGTTAATTGATTAGTGATGGTCGCAGTTGGGGATATTTAATAAGTTAAATGGATTGCTAAGTGGAACAACAACAAAATTTAGCCGAATCAGAAAAGGAATATAGGCATGGGTTCAGCGCTAGGAAAGATGATGAAATGGACAACTTATATTTCTATTAAACCTTCACTGCAGTTCTAGTACTGAGGGTTAAGATCTGCGTACCCAGACAACACATTAACTAAAATGTGCAGAGTGATTTCACAGTTTTACTGGAGACCTCTTCCTGAATACTTCCATACAGAAATGACCTTGCCGTTTAATTCCAGTGAATTCTGCCACTGACTTGTAATGAGAATCTGTCCAGTTTCTCTTAATTAAGACTTCCCTTAATCTAACATAAGAAACAAAAAACTCATCAAAGAACGGTGTCCTACAACCCCTTTGCGCTTCCAGTCTGTGGAAAAAAAACTGATGTCAGCGATGCAAGTCAAGCACCTTTGAAAAATAAACTTCAAATGAAGCAGAAGACCAAGGGATAGTCTAGATCCCCAAGCGAAACTCTTACAGAGAAGTCCAGGCAGAAGGGGAAGAGAGTGAGGATTTATTTATTTGTTTACCTCTATGTCTGTTTACCTCTATGTCTGTTCCTGGTATCACTGCAGCTCAGATAAGTCAAGAGTTTAGAATTAATAATATCAAAGACGAATTTTCTAAATAAGCCTTTGTGAACGATATTCATTCTTCAGATCACTCCCGTAGAATATAGGTGGAGTCTGAATCAATATTATCAGCATGATACATTATTAATCAAATAGCATAATTTCAATTCTGTCCTTTTGAACACAAAGTTCAAAAAGTTACATACTTGTGAGGAACTTCCTTGAGTTTGCTTGCTATGAATATTGATGTCTGCAAACGTAGGAACGTTTCTTAATATTTGAGCCTATTCCATGTTTTTAAAGATAGTTATCTTAAATGTTTGTTATCGTATATGCTTAAATATATACACTTCAGCTGTTTGCAAGCATACGCTTGAGTGTTCCTGAGTCTCTTTGAAACAGGACCTCTTACCACACTGACTTAGGGCCATGATTGAGGGGAAGGGGAGTTTTCCTGCAGGAGGGAGCTGTAGTAATCAGATAATAAGCAGAATTATTGTAGTTAAGTGTGGTTGTGACAAATATGCTGGTTTGATTTAGAAAAAACAGATTAAGATAATACTAATGGTGCCAAAGAGGTAGGCATTGACTTGTTTAAAGTGGATGGAAAAAAAGAGTAAGAGTGAGCCCACACTTCCTAAAGGCTTCATTTACTGGCATTGCATACAGAAGGATTACCTGTGTTAGTTAAAGTTAAGAATTTACTTAAGTACTTGAGCTGGATTGAGGCCAGAGCACTGCTGAGTATGCTAGAGAACTGAAGCCACTCTGAATAACAGCCTTAAAAAAAAAATCAGAGCCACATTTGATTTAAACAAACACATTACCGCTTATAACTATAAGCGGTACTTATAACATAACTATACACCACTTCTCTTTCTTCATCTTAGTGTTATATTTCAAAGCCTCAGTCATGGATAGTGACTTCAGTGTACAAACACTATTACACGGGCTTTAAATGATGATGTTTTTTGAACCGAAAATGAAATCCCTTTTCCCTACGAAAGCCAGAAGTTACTTGATACCACACTTCAGGCTTGAGTAAACGCTGCAAAATTCTAGTAACTGACTAGTAACCTACCATTAAAATGTGATTTTCATGATCATCATCAGTTCTGAAAGACTGGAAGCAGATATGCTGAGCCTAGGCATTAGCAGCATGATTGCAGGTCAGAGTTACAAGGATGGTTTATGGAAAAATAAGAGACAACCTCCAGCTCAGAGCTGAGTCACCCCCAATCTTGACAAAACTCCTTTAAGAAAGTTGCGCAGACCCGGACTGAACAGCTCTGTGGCACGAGCTACATTAAGAAGCAGATACCTACAGGCTAAACGTAGCAAATTAGCTATTCTGTAGCTGGCCGCTTTCTGCACAGCTTATCCCAGCTGAGGATCTCATCTCTGCATGCTGCTGGTGGGCGAGGAGGTCACGCAAAGCCACAGTGACTGTTAGCAGCCCAGGGCTCCAGCAGGAGCAGTCAGAAGCTATCTCCTGAGATACACAAAGATAATGAAGTGTATTTCAGTGCACTTCTAGGATCACATTAAACTCCTGAGACTACCTCGTACCACTCAGGGGCTGGGCGTTTGCAGTAGATTTCAGGCCCTCCCAAGAGCAAACAAACTACGGGCCTGATCGCCGCTAACGGAGAGCCCATGGTTGACCTGTTATCTCCAGATATGTCTTTTTTTTTTGACATAAAGGTACTTTTCAGACGGCACTACATGTGTGTAGCTTTAGGACTCTAACCTTCCTCCTGAGCTAATTCCAGATCCGATGCTGATCACTCCAGGCCTAACTTGTGTGTGCTGCTTCTCCTTTATTGTTCTGCGTAAAAGAAATCTGCAATGATAGCAGCATGCAATGGATATCTTCCTTCTCTCACGCATGCTTTCCCTTTTGAAAGCCTCTTAACATCATAAATATCCTTCTATCATTTCAGGTATGCTACAAGTGAAACCAGATCATCCTACAGTATTGGTTCTGTGGTTTGACACTGTCTGGAAGGGACTGAGGTGAGGCCCGTGCTAAGCAAGAAGCATATCAAGTGTCTCAGCTAAGTGTATTATGATTCCAAACAATACTGTAAAGTGACCTAGAAATGCTAGTAAGAAATTCCTCTGCATTCCATGAACCAGTTCCAGAAAAAGCTCAAATTAGTTCATTGCTAAGGACCTGGGATACGCCTCCAGCAAGCTTGCCACTATGCTCACACTACTGTAGAGCTTGTGCAGGCAAAAGTCTGTGTTTTCGTGGTCAGTGGTATGGATGCTTATAGTGTGGACATGGCAAACGCTCGATTCACAAGCACATAAGCTTAAACGTAGATTTGGTCTGTAGTTAGATGTCTGCTAAGACCCCCAAGTATTTCTTGACGTGCTTCCCAAGGGTGCTTTGTTCTAGCTTATGACAGGTTCTTAAAGTATGGAAATCAAGCATTGCGTTCAATATTTAACAGCCAATTTGAGGAGGCTTCTGTACATAGCATGGTATCTTCCATTCATCGGTAGTAAGAAAACAGACTGTTTAAATTGTCATTACAAGTATGGTACTAGCTGAACCATGAGAGATTAGATCTAGCCTTTCTGAAGTCCATAGAAACTTTGGCATTGATTTCAATAGAGTTAGTTAGGATTAAATTCTATCATTAAATCTATCATCTATACATTATGGATATAATTGGATATAAGCTCTATGGGGATGCCTCTTAGTTTCTTAAGCACACTGAAGTAGCAGACTGGAAATGCAGTATCAGTTTCATTTAAATGAAGAAGTGCAGTCGAGTATTAAATTAGATAATGCAACCAGTAGTTTGAGATTTAACTGGTTGTTTCTGCCAAAATTATCATATTTCAGAGTTAATCATCTTTTGAGACAAAGCATCATCTTTTGAGATGAAGAGTTCTCAGAGCTTCGGACCCTTGTACCAGGGAGACTGCCTGTCTCCTCTGCCTTCTGCCACAGAGGTCGCCACTGAAAGTCCTCACGGAGGAGCAGTGACAATGCAGAGGGGTAACTGCTGCTGGCTGCACAATCCCAAAAGCGCTCTCTAACTCTGGCTTTTTGGGTCAGACACACATGTTCCAGCTGGGGTGTTCTCAGGAGATGCCCAAGTAAAAAGCCTTGCAAATGAAAGACAGTACGAGACATTCCTGAAAGAAGGGGATCTGATTTGGCTTTGACATTTCAGTGGTTGTTATATTCATTTTTATTTCATTTTGATGATATTTTAAGCTTTTGGGAAAGGCATGTCAAGCTTAGAATAGATGCCTGGCTCTAGATCTCTAAAAACAATAAGTATTTATTTAACATTGCTTATAGACTCAGATAGACACTACATCGGTTCATGTTTCTAAAGTAATTTTCATAGCTACTCATGTTTAAAAAAAAAAAAAAAGTAAAAATGAGCAAGTCTACATTCCAGTACAAAAGCATCAAATATGTGGCATGTATATACATACACTAATCTGTATCTGATGTGCAGGACAGGGTCCTATGATAATTCTTTGAAAACTATCAGTTCTTGAGAAGATTTAAATTATTTTAAAGGAAGCGCTAAACAAAAGTAGAAATCAGAAGAGCAGCCTATTTTACAGTGATCTTTTGTGTAGATCTGTACGTGCTCTGAAAACGTGGTAGTTTCCTACACGTTATTATATCTCTAATGCAGAAGCTGACTGCTACAGACTTTAAATACAACACATGCTATCTACAGTTAACTTCTCTTAAGCCACTTGCAGCTCTCATTCTAAAAATAGCAGTGCTGTAGAATTTTTGTAGGTATTTATCATCTTAACAGCTCTTTGACATAGGGAAGTGTTACCCCAATTTTTATAAATGGGAAACTGAGGCCCTGGGAGACCAGGTGACTTACTCAGGGTTGCACAAGAGATCTCTGATAGGGCACATGGTTGCAGCCAGCTCTTTCCGATCTCAAGAGCATGACCTAGCTACTGGCACTGTATTTTCTCTCTTTTCTAAATTTCTGTTTTCCGTAACAACTCTGAAATGCTCTTTGAATTCAAGATTTCTTCTCTGAAATGGCAACAATCAAATGTCTGGAGTCGTAAGGAAAAGAACACATGCTGAGGACATCGTTTTCTTCAAAATATTACCTCTGTATCCGTAAAATTTGGATGATGGAAGACACTACTTGGCGACCAGCTTGTATTATGTCCTTTTGTACTGTAGTGGTGCTCAGCAGCATCTTGCTGTCTCTTTCTGAGGGCGTATTCCAGGAAAGAAGGCTGAGCACCCTCGGCAGAAACGGTTCCTCGCAGTGGTCCCTCAGAAATAGCTTTGGCAGCATCCTGTCCCTGTGTGCAACAAGTCTGTGGGGATGTGCTTGTGCAGCCGTTATCAGCACACGTAAGGGAAGCGACAGCAGGGGAATCTGTTGTCTCGTTTCATAAACCATTTCTTCATCAATAGCTGTTTCCATTTACGTAGGGAGCTGGGTGCTGAGGTCGTACGCATCCTGAATGTTTCCAAGTAAACATGGTCCCAACACCCAAAGCCTGACAGGCCAAACGCACAACGGCAGGCAGATAGCAATCAGCAATAGCTGCTGCTCTCGTGCTGCTCAGCCATCAACTATTTCCCACTGTCGCCAGGAGCTCTCTTCTCTTGATTCTTGTGCTCTTTCTCTCTTCTGGTCTTTTCCAAACCTTTCGGGGTTTCCCCAACTCTTTTTCCACTTTCTGTCTGTGCAGTCAGCTTATTTTCTCATCTGCAGTACTCGTGCTAGTCATTTGTAAATCTTTCAATAAACAGTACAAATCGTACCAAGGCCCAGATCCAGCAAAGTGGCTAAGCACCCATTTAGCTTTAAGCGCTCTAGTACTGTTGACCCCAACAGGACTACCGACATGCTTAAAATTAACCACACATTTAAGTGCTTTCCTGGATCAGGGCCATAATGACATTAACATTAACCAAAACAAAACACCACCTGAGACTCAACAACATAAATACCTAGCAACCTCAACCAAATGCCGTCCTGTAACCTTCAGACTACCTTTCTCCAGTGCCTTTTGTCAATGCTGGCTGTGTCAGAGCTACAGTTAAAATCTATTCTGCAAGCAGATGCTGGAAGCAGTGCTTAGGAGCAGTCCTATTTCAGCCCGGGCTTATTTATGGTTTTAGAATTTGCCCGGCCTGTTTTGCTAGATCGGGCTGTTGGACAATAAGACAGTCAGGACAAGGATCATGTTTACATTTCTGCTGAACATCATATGGGCATACGTACTGTAAACTAACACTGAGAAACTTTTTCTCCTGAGGTACAAGGAAGAAGGCTTTCTACATGTCGCGGATGGCCAGGCTTGCAGAGATACATGTGAAAAAGGATGATAGATAACATTTCTAAAATCTAAGAAGATATTAATCTAATCACAGGCAATTGAGTGTAAGCCTAAACATGCAAAATGACTACATTAAAAGCTCCTCTCTTGAATTCTCCCCCACTCTGCGATTTGCTGACCTTCTCCCTCTGACACTTCCTCTCCTTTGCAGTACATTGACTCTGTCACTGCTTTATACTTCAGCTTATAAGCCCCAAATGGTAGGAGCCTCATTTTATTTTTATGATAACAAAGGATCATGCGTACCTTGGGCACTCTACAAGTAATTACTGTCTTCCCACAAATAAACACACACGGCACCACCCGCAGCTCCAGCTGAGAACGCTGTTGTGAGCAAGCTCAGAGAATAAATATTTTGCGTTCATTTCACCAGCACAATGGAAACATTTTTCCAAGCTGCTGCCAAGATGGTATCTAGTCCTCTTCTGAGTCAGCAGCCCAGGCAGCTGACTTTCAAATGGCCAAACTTGGCTGATTGTAATCTTAAAAGAAAAGCAACACAGACACAAGCTGTAGTTTTAAAGAGCCGTATTGCTCTCCTCATGCATAAGCACACAGTGACACGATACAATATGAAAGTTTGGGAAATAAGAGGTACAAAGAGACTGTTGTTTATAGAGTTCCCCTTATTTTCTCCCAATTTCAACAGTTTATTTCGTCCAGTCAGAGGAAGGGGCTAAGGAAGGCTGTGAAGAAGAGGCAAAGGAGTATCACTGCTTTATGTAGCCCATGTCCAATTGGTATCTATCAGCTCTTTCTATGCTTTAAAGCTCTGTTGGCTGTTAAGGGCAGTGCCTCTAAAAATACAAGATAGACAAAACAGGGCCGGAAGAGGGACTGGGAGAGCTGGAAACAGTCAGGAATTCATAGGGTGCCCTCCCGAGGATCCCAGCCTCTGTAGAATTTTGCTTATTCCTAACGGGGTTTTCCTTCTGGTCCAATACATAAGCAGGCAGGGTGCAACAGGACAGGTTTGAAACCGGGCGTCCTTCCTCGGTTCTCAAGAAAAGACTTTGTCAAGGAAAGTCCATAATCCCTACTCGCTTGTGAATGAGCAGCCTAAACGGTAAATATTTTTTGGCCTTCCTGAATTGCCCAAATATAGCTGGTAGGAAACTGGCAGCAGTCCTATATCAAGCTGCAGCTTTACATTAAATCAGAGTACGTATCAGGCTTCTGATAGCTATTAGAGCTTACTTTCTTGAGAGGTTCCAGTCCCTTAGCAAAATAACAGGATGCTTATTAAATTAACAAGTCTCAAAACTCACAAGTAAATTG